TTGTATGAATGTGAGCGTTACGCAGGTCACAGTGACAGCTCCTGCTTTCGACGGCGACGACGCGCTCACTCAAGCGCGCTATATGGGCTCCACATAGGCTACCTTTTGCTTTTCCCTCCCTGCCCACCCTTATGTTTGATAAGCTGCAGATTGTACAATGCCTGGTAGCTTTCCTCTCTCCACACTGTTTTTCCCACTGGGTTTTCAGGTGGCATGAGAGGTTTTGAGGCACCCATGGCTTTCATTGCACCCTTGTGTTTTCTCATGACATGTATTTATTACTGGGTCATGGATGTGGTTTTCTAGGCGGGAGTCCCGGCTCAGCCACGATCTCCAAACCCCCGCCTGGTGGCCCATTTGCGGCGGGAAGCCCTTCGGGCTTTCTCCCGTAATGCTGTGTACCCCCCCTTCATGTGTGACCTGCCAGCGGGAGGAATACAAAGTCCATTCTTTCATTATAAACGTACAGCCAGCGATAAGATACAGCTACGTGAACGAATAACCAAAGAGCTACACTAAATTGCCGGCGAAGGGTCAAGATGTCGTGAAAATACAAATGCGATGGATACACGAAAGCGACGAAAGCGGATAAATACAGACGGAGAAGACGAATATCGTGGAGTACAACATCGGACGGAAGAATGGACGGGTTACCATGACCAGCGCGCAGCGCCGATCAAGGCAGCGTGCGGATATTTATAGGTTGCTGCCTATCCGTAGTAGATTCTGATCGAGGTTGACGTCAAATGAATGCCAGGAATTCCCGTAAAAACATACTCACCCTCTAGGAGTTGTGGATACTGGCTTGAAGTCGGGGCGACCGGAATGGACAAAGTGGGCCAGGACATCCGACCAGTCGTCCCGCTCGTCCCACGAGATCTTGCTCGGCGGGTCAACCTCAACAGGCATCACCTGGCTGACGCCCCCGCATTGGATGATGACGACGAGACAGCCTATGCCGCCCGCGCGCCGACAGCGGTCCTCGCGGCGCTGTATATCCGCGGCGACCAGCGCGTCCGCGTCGGTAACGTACGTCCTAGGTACGACGTACGTCCCTTTTACCGCAAATCTGGAGATCCCGCAGCCGCAGAGTCAGTATTCTGATAAACGCGGAGTGAGGAAGGTTAAGCCTGAGCCTAAACTCACCGGCGCATCGGGTCGGACGAGTTTTGGAAACTCAATTCGACCAGTAAGGCTTGTTGCCGAACATTTGCCGGGCAGCGCTTGAGCTGGAGCGCCTGGAAGCCGGCCCAGCTGAGCAGGTCGGTGAAGGTCGAGGTAAACTTGCGGAGGTACTTGGCGACGTTCTCGTCGGAGTAACCGGACACTGCATGCTGCTTGGCCGCAGACAGTTGCGAAGAAGTGTGTTGGCAGACGGCCTTATGCGAGGCCCAGTGCGATTTCTGGCAATCCTGTGAACAGTATTGCGTAGTCATCTGGAGAAAGATCACACGCAAGTCAGCTCAATTTTTTTAACCATGAATATTTCCGACTTACGCAGCCGCCGCATAAGCGGAACCGGCCAGTGGCGGGAGTCTCTACGGCACCACAAGTATCGCACAAGCGGTAGCCTCTCTCTTTGTGATGCGAGGATGACGACGGCGAATGATAGTTAGCCGCAGCAGGTCGTGAGTAGTAAGCAGTGGCCATTGCTTTGAACAACAAGTAATCGATGTCAAACAATGAATGGGCTGTCGACGGGGTATTGTGTGGTCGCAGGCAGCGGATGCTAGCAAAACACTGCCATTGTCATGCATGTTAAATACCTAGCCTATGATACCTATAATCGTGTGGATCATCTTGGACGAGTGCGTCCATGTTTCACTGCAATTTCACGGCAAGACAAAAAGTCTCGGAAATGGCTTTTGTCTCTTGACGTCGACGGGTGGAATATGAAAGTGGCTTTTTGTATACAAAGATAACCGACCCCTGGGCACCTTCTTGACACGATCTTCCAGAAAGCGTCAGAGACAATAAACAGGGAGCCCTAACCCGCTCGAGGAACTGAGACAAAAGACGAGAAGACTAGAGGATTGCATAAGAATTCCATAACGGACGTGTTTGCGCATGTTTGGCCGGTTTCAGACACAATTAACCGCGAACCGCCACCCACGACAACAACACAGCTGTAGTGTTGCACCGACCGGATCCTCGTCAGCGGCCAGGCTGACCAGCATGCGTTTCCCTTTTGCAGTACAACGGGAAGCCCATACTGGGCACCCTTGCTGTGCAGCGTGATGGCGGAGGTAGCGCCCGCGATGCTACAAGTTTGGACGATAGCGTCGGTGGCGTGGTCGACGGCAGTTATGAAAGATCTCTTCATATTCGAAGGTTACGTTCCATCTTCAGCGTTCCGAGCTCTTCATTTTACGTGCCCTTTGTACTCTACGCAAGTCTGACTATGACCTACTGTCTTTCCGCTCAATATCAGATGGAAGCCCATCCCTAATGCGCAGCATTGTCGCCGACAAGTTGGGAGCTCATCGTGCAGCTTATAGCACCCCAGATATCACGGACGATGACCCGCTGGAGGGCTATTAAAGCTGAACAGTCTATCATGGACCTTCGTCTCCCGTTACGGTACGTCTGCGCCCTTCATACACCGCGAAAATTCCCTCGCAATTGTCAAACGCCCCGCTCGAATCATGCTAGAAGCGGCATCTGCTGGCATCTAACTGTACCCTGCCTCTCTGCCTCTATCGTGATTTTCTGGCTTCCTGGCTGCTCTGCGTCGGCGTCTTGGTGCTCTTTCTTGTTCCGTCTAAGACTCACTACGCGCAAGACGGTCTTCCTGTCCGATGTGGTGGGGAAATCAGGTTGCAATTAGTATCGTGCACCCTCCCCGCTTCGGTCGGTAAGCGGCGCGATCCTATTATCCGATATTTTAGAAACGTCGAATCTGCGTTCGTAATAATCCTGTTCAATCGGATTATGATCCGCGGGCTCTCTGCTTTTTGGAAACCCGACGGATATTTGGAACGGTAGAAGCATCGGTTCTCCACGCGTGCGGCTGCATCGACCTGGACGCTTCATGCAACATGTTCGTCGTCTTTGACAAAGAAAATGAAACTCAAAGCTCGGCGTACGTTATGCCGCTACGCTTTCCCCCACCGCTTTCCCCCACCGCTTAGCTTTGGAAGAAACCACATACCCTATCCGTGTTCAAGTGATTCAGGGTCTCTTCTATCATCCGAAAAAGGGCCGATCTTCATGCATGTCAATGATGGACGTCCTACGCCACCGTATGCGACACCGAAGTTGTGAAAAGCCTTCTAGCGCGTTCTCCACCTCATATTTCCCTCGCAATTGTCTTGCTATCCCGCCTGGCTTTATGCGAACATCGGACGACGGCGCGGGAACTTTGTCAATACAACAGGCTCATGCTTATGTGAGTAATGTTCCTCTACTGCGGGTCGCAAGTTCGAGACTGTCAAGGACGCCGAAGGGATGCGATCACCATGACGAAACTGATGTGTCCGCAGATTTCAATGCAATCACCCGTATCTCACATCTGCCGCGATCTTTTGATGCCATCTTGGCGGAGGGCTTGGTGTAAGTATTCCATGTCAATGCTGCATATGTACGGGCCAAATAGTATGCTCCCTCGCCCTGTGTGGCTCTCCTTACGCGCAGGGGAGGCACCCATTCACGACGGGCGGGTAGTCGTCACATGATTATCCTCAGCGTGCCATTTAATCACTGGAGTGCAGTTCGTCGCAGCTGTGTCCAGCTAGTTTCACCGCCGCTTCGCTTCTAGTGTACAACAAAGATCTGATTTATCGTACAGTATTTACATGAAGTAAACCATTCATTCCAGATATGAAGACTCTCCAGGAGCCGAACAAATCACTATATCTGATCTCGAAAAACGGGTGACCTACTTTGGCCGCACGTGGTGGGCTTACCCTGTAGAAGCGCTGAACGGGGTGTTCTACACCATGTTTTGCCTTGAAGTAGGATTCAAAGCGCTCCACAAGGAGCTGACAGCCGCGGGGAAGGAACATAAGCTCCCGTTCCGCCTGTGAACCCTATGCCTCTCACCTGATGATCCCGCCTCTGCACTGACAGGGACGGATGCCGACTGATGTCTCCTCTCCTCCCGCCGTATCCTTGCAAATCGCGTAATCGCACTGTCTACTAAAGCCCAGTGTTCCTGCTCCCGCGTCCCCCTCCCCCATTCGGTTTCGACCTCCTCCAGTGATGGGAAGAGATCGGAAAGGAACTCTGCGACGTCCAGAGCGTCGGAGATAGGTGATTTTCCAACATCCAGACTGGTTGTCTTCTTACCGCTGACACCTCGTCCTGGACGCTGGCCCTCGACAAGGCGGATCTTCGTGGCGTCGAAGACGATAGAAAGCTGCTCCAGGTCAGGACAGAGTTTGACGAGGGATATCAGGCCCAGAGGAGTTACCATGACTCGAGGTAAGTTGGACGGATCGGCATTGTTGTCGGTACAAAGGTCCAGACGGGTGATGAGGGGCCAGCACGACGCGAATTCTTCGAGTGTCTCGTCGCTAAGATTTAGGGCATACTCGACATCTATCCTGAGGGTACGCAACATTGAGAAGGGTTTGAGCGGCTTGAGTATTGCCCCTTCAAGGAATAGTTCAGCTGGCTGCTGTGGCGGGGCCTCGAATTTCCATCGGACGAGCTCCAGAAGCTGCAAGCACTTGGGAGAACAGTGTTCTCCGATATCTTCCAGCCAGCCTTGAAGCTTCGTTGGCTCTTTAGCGTCCTGGTGGAGGACTTGAAGGCGTGTCAGGTTGTGGAACATACCGAAACTCTTCATAACAACCTCCGGCATCCGCTGATTCATTGCAACAAAAAGTTTGCGAAGCGAGCGGAATTGCAGTCCTTCCGGCACATCTGAAGCAGATAGCTCGAGAAGTGGTGTCCACACTTCTCTGGTCCAGCCAGAGTTCCGTGCAGCATGAACGCGCAGCGACGTGAGTTGGGGCCAAGACGCCAATGCGGTGAGAAACTGAAGAGAGATGGGTGTGATGGAACAGCTGAACAGTCGCACATCACGAAGATGCTTCAACGTGTTCATGAAGGCGGGATTCGCAGATATATCAATGTCCCCCTCGACGGTGATATCCCGAATGTTTGGCGAGAGCTGAACCATGGCAGCTAGTGAGAGAATGACCTTCGGCAGAAGATCACGCTCAAGCTTCGGATCGGTAGGGCGGATGCGGACTTCCCTTATGGCCGGGACAAAGAACGGCAACAGATACTCAACCTCCTCAAAAGACGAACAGAGGATATCGAGGTTTGGGAGAAAAGAAAGGGAAGGTCGGTTAATGATGAGGGCATCCAGTGTAACCTTGTGGACACCGAGAGCATAGATCCCCTGAACTTTCATTGCGTAGTACGTGAATCTCTCCCAGTCGGTTTCTACGCATGACCTAGCTAGTACCTGTCCACGGCCATCAGAAGACTATAAGGGCACATCTAGAAAATAAGTGCCTCGTACAAGGGCTGAACTCGACTCTGCTTGTGACTCCTTCCACAAATCCGGAGGCATGCAACGTATGAGAGGTACTATTGATGGAAGCCACTCCCAAATGACGTCGCTCGCAGGCTCGTGGAACGCCTTGCACACTCTCGTACAAGATGCAGCGCTCTTCCGGGACTCGTCCTTCACCAACTGGAAGATATTGCGGAGTATGTCTGGTGTGCAGCGGTGAATCGATGCCTCGCTCGGGGCTGCTGCTGTTGTCATATTGGAGGGATAGTATATGTGGGTAAGAGCCTAGGACTCTGTCACTTTGTGGCGACTAAGTCGTGCAATTTCGATTCAGTTCAGCTTTATTGCCCGCGTTCAAAGCCAGACAATCCGCGCGCCAGATGCTGCGGTTGGTTCCTATGCCAATTGATGGCTTCGTGACCACCATGCCGTACCGTAGTTGATCTACAACGTTAGTTCTGCTCATCTGATATAGAGGGTTGTTACGAGCCTTAGTAATAGCTAGCCAGTGGTAACATATGTAGCCTGTCAATATATGTAGACTGGTTACAGCCATTTGCAGATCGATAATGGGCCACCACTTTAGAAAGTCGCATATGGTCGGAGTGCGTCGGAGATGGTGCCAGGGACGTCGAAGGAACGAAAAGAAGTCTAGAGGGTCAGACTTTGACACCTCGGGGACTTGATTTCCCCTCTCCGACATGGTCCGACTGCAAATGATTTTTCAATAAGTGCGCCCATCGAACTGCAAATGGCTGTAAGACCGGCGCCGTCTATTCATACCCGGTCGCAGACTCGCAGGCTGCAGGATGACCGGTCCATAGTCAGATTCCCACGGTGCTGAATCACAGAACGATTGTGCGATCGCTGACACACCACTTTCGCCGGCAGAGGAGACTCCCTACGGAAGAACATATCGTGTTTCTCGAACTTACTCGACGATGACGAAGACCGAGTGCAGCCCGAAGTTCTGCTTCGTCACCGGTATAAAACAGAACAGTGGCGGCGCATTGACTTCAAGCTTGTCTTTTGGTCAACTTTTGGTAACTCGAACGCGAAGTACCACTGTTAGCAATGGCTCCAGTCAGAAACGGTCGTCACCTCTTCAACGAGGTTCCAACTGGTAAGCAGGATCCAGCAGAGCAGTTTGCTATCAGTTGTTAACTTCTGGGTGATGAACTTTACGTAGGCTACCCTGTGCCAGGGAAGACAACGGTGTACGACGGTAGCCAGACCATCGACCCCGACACCGTCCCCTTGAATGGTGGCTTCCTGCTGAAGACGCTTGTGCTATCAATCGATCCTTACATGCGGGGAAAGATGCGGGATCCGAAGGTCGAGAGCTACTCGGTACGTACAGGCCAGCTAAATCCTTACCCGACATTTGCTCACTAGTCATGCGTCGGTGATCACAGCCACCATTCCTCATCGGGAAGCCCCTGGAGAATTTTGGTGTAGGCGTCGTCATCCGCTCCGAAAATCCTGCAGTCAAGGCAGGCGATCATCTCTACGGCATCTTCCGTGAGTCCCTCTGCTCTGGCCGTCTCTTCTCAGTTTCCTATAAGCGACGATGCAGCATTCCAGGAGTACTTTGTCGAGACCGACCCGAAGAAGTACCGCGTACTTGAGAACAAGGAGAAGCTACCCTGGTCCGTGTACGTCGGCGCAGCAGGCATGCCCGGCCAAACGGCGTACTACGCCTGGAAGGAGTACTCTGCCGCCAAGAAGGGCGAGACAGTGTTTGTAACAGCGGGCGCTGGGCCTGTTGGATCGTACGTGCTGTTTTATACGTAAATGAGGTGTGAAATTTGAGCTGAATTCGATGCGTAGGTTCGTGATTCAATTGGCGAAGCTCGACGGACTGAAAGTTATCGCATCTGCGGGCTCTGAGGACAAGGTCGAGTTCATCAAGAAGCTCGGCGCCGACGTCGCGTTCAACTACAAGACGACCAATACGCGGGAGGTGCTGAAGAAGGAGGGTGGTATCGACATGTAAGCCCCTTTCAGTTTCCCGATCTGTTTTCTCTGACTCGTTGGATTGGTAAGCTACTGGGATAATGTCGGCGGGGAGACCCTCGAAGCTGCCCTTGACGCTGCACACCCAGAAGCACGCTTCATCGTAAGTGTCCAAGTCCCGATACATCTGCTCCGGTGAGCATGCACTCATCACTGCAATAACACAGGAATGCGGCATGATCAGCGCGTATAACGCCACCGAGCCCTACGGCGTCAAGGTTAGCTACTTCTCTTCCATACACCCGATATTGTTCCACTGACCTACTCTGTGCAGAACCTCATGCTCGTTGTGGCCAAACAAATTTCGATGTACGGCTTCCTCGTGTTCCGCCTCGGACAGAAGTACGAAGAGGAGTTCTACCGCGTCATCCCGGCGAAGCTGGCCAGCGGCGAGCTGAAGTACAGTGAAGATGTTACGAAGGGATTAGAGGACGTCGGTGAGGCGATCCTGTCGGTACAGAAGGGGACGAATAAGGGCAAGAAGGTCATTCTGGTCGCGGAGGAGTGAGAGTGAAGCCTTCGTAGCAGCAAAATATTAATGTGTATTATAGCAATTCTTGGTTTATCCCGACTATGAAAGCGCCCATGATTGTAAGCTTATCAACATCTAGACATTCCATCATCAGTCTGCGAAGCTCGTTACATGTACTCGACAGTTCGATGCTAATCGTTACTGGGCTTAATCAGCAAGAGGATGGATTATCTAGCCCAGCTCGATGGTGACTAACCTAGTGCGTCGCCCGAATAAAGGAGCGCGATGATGGTAACTTGCATAGTCACGGTGCCGCTAGTATGGTTTCAGTCAGAAATGGTCGCCACATCTTCAAAGAGATCCCAACAGGTGAGCAGGGTCTGTCGGGGCATTCAGTGACCATTGATTGATTTGTGATGTTCGTTCGTAGGCTATCCTGAACCAGGGAAGACGACAGTTTTTGATGGCAGCCAGACCATCGACCCGGAGACTGCGCCTCTGAACGGCGGGTTCCTGGTCAAAACCCTTTTCTTGTCCATTGATCCAGCCATGCGCGTCAGGATGTCGGCCGAGGATTTCAACAGCTATACGGTAGACACCATGTCCTCACCACGCCTATTGTCATGTTGATGAACAGCAATGCAATTCCTGTCTAGCCGGCCTTTGTCATGGGAAAGCCCTTGGATAACTTTGGCATAGGCATCGTCGTGCGCTCCGACAATTCTGCACTCAAAGCAGGCGATCATGTCTACGGTATCGTCCGTACGTCCTTCCCAATTGGTTTTTCTTCAGACCTTGACGCTTTGCCTCGTAGCATTCCAGGAGTACTTCGTTGACACCGATCACACGAAGTACCGCGTGCTCGAGAATAAGGAGAAGCTCCCGTGGTCCGTGTACCTTGGCGCGGCAGGTGGACCCGGCCAGACAGCATACTACGCGTGGAAGGAGTACGCCTCGCCGAAAAAGGGGGAGACGGTGTTCGTCACCGCAGCAGCAGGTCCAGTGGGCTCGTGAGTGTCACTCCTTATTCGCATCAGGCAGTCCGAAGTACTGATTCTGGCTAAGCATGCTGATACAATTAGCGAAGCTCGATGGGTGCAAGGTCATCGCTTCTGCAGGCTCCGAAGAGAAGGTCAAGTTGGCCGGACAGTTCGGCGCGGATGTTGCATTCAATTACAAGGCGATCGACACACTAGAGGTATTGATGAAGGAAGGTGGCATTGACATGTATGGCCCCCGTTCCAGCTTTCCCTTCAAAGTCTGACTATGATGCGCTTATTGCACAGCTACTGGGACAATGTTGGAGGCCCGACGCTAGAGGCGGCGCTCGAGGCAGCCCACATCGGCGCACGCTTCATCGTACGTGACATTTACCACAGCGCCTGCGCCGTAAGCATTCACTCACCATTCCAATATTGATATAGGAATGTGGCATGGTGAGCGGATATGGTGCCACCGAGCCGTACGGCATCAAGGTCCGTGCTTACCGCCTAGGTACGCTGAGCCAGTAGCCCGCTGACTCCTCTCTAGAACTTGGTTCTGATCATGCGCAAAACGATTTCTCTGTACGGGTTTCTCTTCTTCCGCCTCGCCTCGAAGTACGAAGAGGAGTTCTTCCGCGTCGTTCCGCCAAAGTTAGCTACCGGAGAGCTGAAGTACGCCGATGATATCACGAAGGGGCTGGAGAACGTCGGCGAAGCGATCCTAGACGTGCTGCAGGGGAAGAATAAAGGGAAGAAGATTGTTTTAGTTGCTGAGGAATAGAGAGATGCTTGTGGATTTGTCTTATTGTAGGAAATTGCTCAGAATCATGAATGAATAGCACGATACCTGATATGTTGATATCACCTTCGTGCCAGCGGGTATGCTTGTCAGTTCTCACTCGCCTATAATATCCTGTCCGAGTCAATCAGAATATTTTTACTCAGCAGCTTCATCTGGTGTCCCTTGTCCCAACTGGGTTAGTATGCAACGGAGCGTCAATGAACAACGTGCCACGATTCTCTGAACTGCGGTTAAACAACTGCATGTAAGCATGTTAGTCTCCTCATTCAGTGTTTTGCAATACGGGAGTTAGAAGAATCTAAGGGGAACATGCTTCACGTTCAATGCGTACTAGTATTCGATCGCCGGGCCTCCCCGGCGAGGCGATTCAAGCAAGGATGCGTTCACGATCGGGTGAAGCCGGTGACCCGGTGGCGTGGACTTCTTGGCTGCCTACCTTAGTACCTTGTTAGTACCTACATGCACTCAGAGCTCCAAGTCTCCTCGCCTCTCTCGCGGAAGTATGTATACCATTCCAAGGTCCACTGGTCTCAAGGGTCGTACGCATGTGCTCCCATATCTTGAAAAGGATCACCGTCTGGACCTTTGGTCCCCAACTTCTCGTGGTTCCAGACGATTTTATGTCCATGAATATCCTATCGAAATTCAAGATCTCCGCAACTCATGTAGAAGACTGCAATCCACGTACACTGTGGCTTACTCTGTGCTCGTGCATAAATGGAAGACCCTTTATAGTATGCTGTACCCTCAACATGACATTGAGGCTGAGTGGGATGGCACACTTCTGTCGGAAAATCGAAAATGCCATATCATAAGTGATCTGGTCTGGCCAGGCATGATCTGACTGTCAGGTTTGGGACCCCCTGGTCAGATTCAAAAACTCATTATATGCCGTGATCAGCCTGACAAGCCCTGATCAGGCCTGATCAGGCTTTTCGTGAAATATAATAAGAAAAGACTAGTGCTGCCACCTTCCATTCCAATTACTACCTAAGTAGCACTTTGACATTGATCATGGAGCCTACAAATACCTTGTAGCCTATTCAATTGCCAGTGCAAGCATTTAATTTACTACAGGGAATGTTATTCTGGCCGTGATCTGAACACTACGCTGATGAAGAGTTATGGAGGCAGCAGCATGCACAGTGCGCCCTACACAACTCACCTGTATTGCTTGGATGCTGTAGCTACTGGTAAAGCTTGTATGAACGACCCTTTGTCATTAGGCAGCAGAGCTGCAGGGTTTATATACTCTGTGGCCCATAGGCTGACTAAGCTACATGGAATATCTATAATCCTACTGAGCTCCACCTATGATGTCACTGACCCACATGAGCTCCGTGCCTTGTACAATAATGGAATATACCAGAATGTTCCAGAGAGTTCCGGTATGTTCTGGTATGTTGTAGAACCTGGCAGCTAAGTCAGCGCCCAGCTCAACATACGCTACTGTGTTACTTCACTGTGAGAACATTTGCTATGAGTACACCACTACACCAACGCGCAATCCCAAGACAGATCTCATTATATACGTCATCTCGCTCCCATATAACGCAGGCTTATGGGTGACACCTGTCGGGCTGCTATAGTGCTGTAGTTCTAACCTACACTGAATACAATTCATATAAATGGAGATGACAATGAAGGAAATAGTAGCTGGACCTGCGAAAGGCGAAGGTGCTCCCCGCTGTTCATGCCAGATCGAGCCTGACAAGGCCTGACGAGAGCATGATCAGGGCGAATACAAACTCTTATAAGGCATGATCATGGCTTATCAGGCTGTCAGGCTTCATCAGGCCTGATCAGGGTTTTAGTGCTTTTCCGACAACCCAAGGACCTACATCCGATATGAGCTCTAATTTGTGAAGGCAAGGGTCCTTCTAGTCGCGCCCTTGTCCCAGTAACTTCTCCCGCTTGTACATATAGAGCCTCCATATTACACAACATCCCTAAGTTCATTCCGCTATCGTCCACCGCCACATGAGATCTGTCGATTCATCTTTTATTTCGGGTCATACCATACCCTGAAGGATACAGCGGCTACTCCGCGCCCATCCTCTCATCCGCAGTTCTCGGCGTCCTGAGCGCACCTCTGCTCTGGACCCCGATCCTGTTGTGGTGGATTTTCGCAAAGTATATCAAGCCCAACTGGCCACATAGAATGGGAAATCCCTTGGGCACATGGCGCTCGTGGCGGTCCATACTCTTCTTGGGCCTCTGCGAACCCTGGCGTGGACATTAAGCGTGAGATGCTAGTGTAGGTAATCTCGCCTTTGCCACAGTACGAGACTGCAGGGCCGTATGGTCGCATTTCCTCATTGCTTGTAGTGAAGGAGATTATAAAGTCATGATCGTCCATATGGGGATTCTGAATATACTTATATCATCAGCGATAACTGGCACATGCATTGGACGTGAGCTGTACAAAAGTAGACCACGATAAACGAAGCTTAGCTGGTCCCTTTTGTTCCCGCAAACGTGGTGCCACAGCACACTGAAATGGCCAAGGTGCTATGCTGCCCCTCCGATGCAAGGCAATAGAGCGGTCATTGCAGTCGCGGATGAAAACGAGGAATGTACGACACTAACACTTATCGACGACGCTGCGGATTGGAGTTCACGATGGGGCCGGTCACGCGCGGTAGGCACTAGGTCAGGGATGCTTGTACAAGGGAGAGCAAAGCGAAGGAAATAAACATAGCACATAGCTAGGCATGACGTACTCATACTCCATTTTGGCTAGCATATGACAGAGGGAGGAGCCCGTCTCGACCCGACCAGCAGCCAAACCACCACCGACCAAACCCTTAATCCCTCGGCGCGCCGCGACCGACCCCCGCGAACTGGGGCCTGTACTCGCCAGGCGCGCTCTCCTTCTTCCTGTAGTCATCCCGGTCGCCACGGGGGGCACGGTACGTGCCCTCGCCACCAGTACCCGGTCGGACGTTCGCAGGCCGTGGCGGGCGGACGGCTTTCTTGTGTGTCTGAGGAACAATCTCGGCGGGAAGGTGGAGCCTTGGTGCAGGGACATGGATATTTCGACGCGGGGATCATGGGCAAAAGCATAACTCACCATTCACGGAGGTACTCGACACCCTCGGGAGTCAAAACGTAGTAGTACCATTGCCACGAGAACTGAGTCTTGACGTAGCCCTTGGAAGTAAGACTCTGCATGGCCTTGATGACCTCCAGGTTAGGGATCGACTCGAGCTCCTCGTGCTTTGGTGCATTGTAGTCTTTCTTGGCGACCATCACCCCCTCTGCAAGCGAGCGGTACGTCTGTGTAAGCAGTGATGCAATGCGATCCCGACGTACCCTTGAAGAGGTTCTCGTAGATGACGCGCCTGTTCTGCTTCGAAATGATCATGCTGGGCGAAGTGGGTTATCGGGGTCGGAAGCTGGTGTTTAGCAGTTTAGATAGAACTTGTGCCATTAAAAAGGAGCGAACGTACTGCGAGTCGAGTGTCGCACTTATTCCGGCTAACGACAGGATGTCAGAACTCATGCTCCCAATCCACCGTACATCCATAGTCCCCGTCCGCCATCCAACCCCAGCGAGACGTCCAAACGAGACCGGATAACTTCCGTTGCAGCCAGAGGGACAATTGGGACCAAGCGAAACACTCACTTTGCGTGGAAGGCGGCGAGTACCTCTGCTTTTATCGTTGGCTTGATGCCTTGGGCTTGCTGTCGGCAGCGATAGCGTTCACCGGTGGGCGGGCGGAGCCTGAAAGCCGTCCAAACCTGGAAGGAGCACCCACGTGGCGTTGTGGCCACAGCGCGTCCTCCGGATCTCGATTCTCGACTTGCCACTGGCACTTGCAAGTTCCGCCTGTACTCGAAGTCGAGACATCGAGGTTAGCTCCGCTTTCATCTTTTTCCAACCGCCAGATTTTATTTCGACGGCGACCCAAGCTTATCGTCGCTCAGGTGCGCGTATTCCAACAAAAAATTCTATGCTTGCCCGCACTCGCTCAAACTATATCTCCGGATGGGATCATGACTCTTTACTAGAGCGCATGAATGAATTACACGCTATGAGGCTGAGGCACTCGCCGACTTCAGCTGGTATCTCCTCTACCTTACCCTCACATCCCGGGCTGTCAGGTGGCCAAGCATGTATCACTCGCACGGTGTGCAATGTCGAGCGCTATGACAAAACGAAGAAGTACTTCGCCCAGACTGTTCTTTATATCAGCTCTTGCTCGAGTGTTCTTGGACTCGGCTTCTGAATGGTTCGGAATATTCGTTGCGTCTACTTCGGATGCCGTTGCAATGCGAGTTTCCTCGAAGCCGAACTCTTCATTCGGTCTCTCGAGCTCATCGATGAAGCCCTGCATAACTGCCTCTGTAACTGCACCGAACTGGACGCAAACATGGGTTTGATAATAGGGGATTGGTTACTTCGTGCGACGTATAGCTTCTGGGCTCTCCGTACCTACGAAGGACTCGAGACGGCTACAAGACGAAGCACCGAAGCGCAGTTGCTGCCCGATGGTCTCTTCATGTGGGATCCGCCTTCTGGTTTCGTACTACCTATGCTTTCTCAAGCTCAGTCGTTGCGGAATCCATGGTCCGGTACGGGTCATGTCATACGGGCAGAGGCCCCGACGCACTATAATTAAAGGTTAATCATCCAAATGATGGCCGATGCGCAAATACATTATCTGTTAGAAGACAATGGGTCCGCGGCGACGTTGTGTTTTTATTGGCTAGCGAACCCGAGCTACCTAACCTCAATATTCCCTCAAGCCACGGATCACCAGAGCAGGGAGGATACGATGCGTAAAGCATCGGAAAATTGCCCTAACTTATGTTCCGAAATGCGCGTTCGCAACGGGGCTTTCGACAAGTGACACATGGGTCTGGGACGTCTCTAACGACGCTGTTTCTCTCACGGGACGCGCTTGCCTCTCCGCCGCAATGCAGAAACCTATGAATATGACGCGGATCCACCTCGTGTTCATCTCCCCCTTCCTCTCGCCAATCCTCTACTACACTCATGGTAGAAGCTCGCATTTGATTGCACTCGTATCCCTGGTTCTGAGTTCCAATACTCCAACCTAGAAACATTCAGTGTTTCGGCGTTCACTGCATAAATCTTTCCACTCGGACGAGGTTTGAGGACCGGGCGCCACTACCAAAAAGCAGCATCGTAATGCCGCCGGATGCACTAGGAATAACGAGCGTACAGACGATCAAGTAACGTGCGATCAGTTTCCGTTCCGCACCGGAACTCCCAGCTGTCATTTAAGAAAATGCGGGCGCAGGGGCAGTCCTAAGAAAGGCCGCTCTGTCGACTGTCCAAAGTGTTCAAACTCCTTACGTCGGGGTAGCGGGTGCGGGTGGAGCCACGGCAGTCTCTGAGTATTTCCTCTTCTCAACGCCACAGTTTACGGGATTCGGTGATACTTGAGCTATATATGTGATAGGGAACTAATCGACATCGTCACCTCGACATAGTCGGGCATTAGGTCGCTCTCCAGAGTCCTGCCTGCATTCAAGCTCTCCTGCGTCCACCCAATGCAGGATCTCAGGCGATGAAGCAGGATCGATCCTCTCTGTCGGGTTCATTTCTGCTCTGCATTCTAGAGGAGTTATCTGATTGACAGTGTCTACATTAGGTCATCGGTGCGTGATACCCGTACGTACGTCACCCTAGAGAACAATTGTTGACTCTCGCATCACTGGTGGATCTGTATACTCTATGTGACACCTGAAGACGTTACTTATCATCGCACTAGGGGCGTTGGTCAAGCCAATATCTACTGACAGGTACCATTTTCTACGGCGGCTGTGCTTTCGGTAATGTATAAAGAACATCTGAGGACACAAGACACTGTATCGCAGCTACGCCCCTCATAATCCAGCTGCATCATGGACACAGTGTTGTATTATCTGTTACCTTCTGTGGCGTTGTGCACTATGACAGCGTGCTGGTTGCTGTTCCGGCAGTCCCCGCTTTCGAGCATACGAGGTCCGAAACCCGAATTCTTCTTCGGTGTGTATCATTCCTCTCGAACGCTTTCCGATCCCTCTCATCCATATTTCCCCGTGTGGGTTCGCAGGTAATGTCAGGCAGATTGTGCGGCAGAACAACGTCGAAGTACTGCTGGCATGGGCCGCAGAGTTTGGTTCAGTCTTTCGATTCAGAAGCTTGATGGGCGTAAGTCAACTGCAGCAGTGTGGCTTCCCTTCTATAACCGCTTACAAGCCGTCCGCGCCAGAGGGACAAGCTGATAGTTTCTGACCCAAGACTGGTTCAATACGTGCTCGGGACAGCAACATACGACTTTCCCAAGCCAGCTTGGCTAAGAGCCTTTTCTAGGGCCTTTCTAGGACCAGATATAGTGTGTTCCGAAGGTCAGGAGCTATACTATCGCCCGATACTGACCTTCTGATACCCCGTCGGTCTTCAGGGAATGATCACAAAAGGCAGAGGAAAGTCATATCGCCCGCATTCGGCCACACGGAAGTGAGGGCACTTTTCCCAGTGTTCAGATCCGTAGCGGTGAACGTACGTACTGCTTTGCTCCAGTGTTATAACATTCGACGATACAAATCGTCGAATAGTTAGGAAATAAATGGCATGATATCGTGCAAGACTGCTCAGATCAAACTTGCATAGATGTCCACGACTGGCTCAGCCGCGCTACTCTGGACGCAATCGGGGAAGGTATTTAAGCCAGCCTTTACTCTCCTTTGTCCCCAATGTCTCAATGATAGATCCATTAGCTGCCTTCGAAATGCACTTGGGAACGATGGGCAATCCGCATAGTGAGCTGGCAGAGATATATAGAAATTTCAAGTGGGTTCACGGTATTAAGGGAGGCATCGCTGTCTAATATGGCTTGTTAGTGTTGATTCTACTCCAGCCAGCAGACGTCTACTGAACGCCGTACTGGACTTCATTCCCGTCTCTCTCATTTTTCCCGTGTTAAACCGTTTACCACTGAAGCAAATCGTCGTGCTTCAAGAGCATAAAAAGTGGGCGGACAGAGTGGCTCGTGAGCTGGTGTCATGGAAGATGGCAGAATTTCGAGAAGGCAAGGGCAAGCGGGATGTATTCAGCTTGCTAGGTCCATTCATGCAATACCTAAGCCATCCATTTATTTACCACACTCTCGTGATTGTTGCAGTGAAAGCGAATGCCTCAATGCAAACTGAGCGGCGTCTAACAAAGGAAGAATTCTATGCCCAAATGAGGTATGTCTTTTACCTAAGATGCCCATATTAATTTTATTAATCCAATTCAATCGCCCTTTTCAGCACGATGTTCTTTGCCGGTCATGACACTATCGCCAGTACATTGACGTGGGCGCTGTGGCTGCTTGCGAGTCATGAGGAAGCCCAAAGCCGACTCCGCGAAGAGATAAAGAACGCACGGTCAGCCGCGCGGGTACGTGGTGTCGATGAGTTGGAGTTCACCGACATCGAAAACATGGCGTACCTTCAAGCGTTTCTCAAGGTGCGTCCCTTGCGACGCAACTTCCTTGATAATGCTGCTGGAGGGTGGGCTCAGACTGATATATCGTTATGAAACAGGAAACGCTGCGTCTGTATCCCACCGTATTTCAGACGTCTCGCGTTGCGAGCAAGGACTCTGTACTTCCGCTATCCCGTGCTATTGAGACAACGGATGGACGAACTATCGACCAGATCCACGTCCCAGCAGGTACAGAGATAATCATCGCGATCGGTAGTTACAACAGGTATTTACCGGTCCTACGGAAGCCATTGTCACTTTTCACTCAGCTCGTCCATTCACAGGGATAAGACTATCTGGGGTGACGATGCTAACGAGTTCAACCCTGATAGATGGCTGAAGGGCGAAGTGGCCGTGAAACACGGAAATCCCATTGGCGTCATCGGAAATTTGTAGGTTGTTTTCTTCCACTCTAGGGGAGGATACTGCATCACGTTTCATACACACAGGTTGACTTTCTCCAGCGGCACTAGGGCGTGCATCGGTTGGCGATTTGCGTAAGTCTCCCCCTCCACCACGTTAAGCAGTCAGTTTCAATAATTCTCGGAACAGCATGGCGGAGATGCAAAGCTTTCTCGTCGAGCTTATCGACCGATTCGAAATTCGTCCTCAGCATTCTAAACAGCGGGTCTGCCAGTGGGGTGATAATTTGACCTCCACCCTCGTAGACGGAGAAGAAGATAAGGGAGCGGAATTGAATCTGAGCGTTTCACTCGCGTCAAGAGACTGAATGACATGAATTTGGAGATATGAACCATAGGGCGTTGGTACGTCGATACTATTGTCCTCAATCGTAATGTCTGTTCTTATACAGAAACCGTTGGCAGTTGTCGAGAGGGAGATTAGTCCCGCGCTACATACTTCAAGACGATACTGATATTCCGTGTTTTCCCAGCATTCACCTACTATTGTGTAGTATCTAACCCCCCCCCCCCCCCCAAAAAAAACTTATATCATATAATTGGAATATTCTAGCCTAACTATCCGAAGAGCTCGACGATATTCTGTAAGCGGCCATCGCCGTTCTCCATACTCGTGTTCCTAGCATCAATAATCTGCTTTGTGAATGAACTGCGGAAAAGCTTCACATTCAGACTATGAACATGAATACGATGAATCATACATACCTCGCTCGTCCGCATCCCTTCGCTCCGCTGATGAATATATCGGCATCGGTCGCAATGATCTTGTCTAGGATCCCAACTACTCCCTCGTCTTCCAGCAACTTGGTGTACCCTAGTTCGTTGTCCCTCTGCTCAGGGTTCAGCGATTGCAGTCTAGCGCTGATATCCGTCAAATACCAGCCATGCAGCTTGCCCCCCCGGCGGAACGCGTCTTTGAGAACAGAGATTGCTTCGACATGTTCTGGTGCTATGCTCTTTAACGTGCCCGACCGCCGTCTGCTCTCCTGGAATCCCCCAGAAGACGAAACCGGATACGGGTAATCAGTTGCCAGCCAAACCGTCTTGATTTCGTTCCTGCTTGATGCGGTACCGTTACTAGACGTTGAGAGAATCTCAGCCAGTTTATCTACGAGGGTGACAGCACACTGTGGCAATGACGCTAGCGGTACGCTTTCCAGCCGCCAGTGAATCGCTAGGTACGGATGGATTGGACCGGACATCCTGCGAGCCATCGTCTTCAGGTGGTGAGCATAGTCCAGACTTAAATTCAATTTTGCGTCGTCGCCGTGAAAGAGCGGGTGCCGCAAGTCCCAGTCCACCACCAGAACGTCCGGAGAGGATATAGCGACGTCTTGCGCCTTCGACTGGAAGGTCGCCCACCTAATATCTTCGTCACTGATCCATTTCACAATTTTACTTGAGTTTGGCGAGCGCGTGGTTCCCGGGCTAAGGTGAACCGAGATGGGCAAGAAAGAAGCAGAGACGGAGAGGCGCTTGAACTTCGTGTTGAGACACGGAGCACGCTTGTAGACTATAGAGTCGTCCTCATGCATTTGGACCTCGATATCGCTGTCCTCATGCAATAGTTTGTTCCCTGATAACTTGGACGTGGAATTCGCGTCCACAAAGACAGCTTGAGCCGTTACCGAATATCGTCGCGCAGACAACCAAGCCTTAAAGGCGTCCATTGTCAAGAATACAGAGAATGAAGGGGTGGAATTCCGCGTGTTCTCTACGGCGGATTCGAGCGATACTACATCGTAATAGTCGTCAAAGCGTTCCTTCGAGCAGGCTCCAAGGCGACTCTTCCCGACATTTGGCAAAACAAGAGAGCGATTGAGGGCATAGGCTAGCTGCAGCAGCTGCAGAAAATGCAGGCGGGCCTTGGATTCCTGTTCTGCAATGCGAGAAGGGAGAAGGAGCCGACACGGGGTGAAACCGCAGATATCCAGATCAACTCTCTGCGCAGCGTCCAAGCCGTGATGAGTGCTAGCTTCCGGTACTCGAGTGACTGTAGGAGGCCAGCCTTGATGACTACCAGGTCCGCGGTCGACGTATAGCAGACGGTCGAGGGGGTCCAGATCAATAACCGACTGGAGATTGTCTAGTTTGTCTAGGATAGTTCGGTCGACCATAGGTAGCTTGTGGGTTCGGGCCGATGTTCCTGCCTCACTTGTGCGAGATCTGATGGTAGAGGTAACTATTTGTAGGTCAAGTTTGTCCCTGGTGCTCGTTTTCACAGATTCCGAGCAGGTGAAGATTACAACAAGGAGAAACACAAGCGACAGCAAACAAAGGAGAAGGAGTAAAACCCGTCGGCGCGGCCCATGCCTGCTGGCGAGAAGGAACGTCTGAGGCGATCCGTGAAGGTGAAAGCGATGAGTAGACTTCTCGAACCTCTCGTTATTTATCGTCGGCGCAGCTGGAGCTGAAAGGTCGCGGTGAGAACGTGAGCGAAGCATCAGATTAGCTCCGACACTTCGGACGCAAATTGAGGATGGAACTTTTGAGAAAGCTTGTTGTTACTGTTATTGCCAAACCGCGTCCAGAGCTGGTACAATTACTGTCAATGTCGTGTTGGCTACTGGTAAGACAGACGATCGATGCAAGGTTAGGGCGTGACGTGCAACTGCAAGTATGGGGACTTCCGGGTTGTGAGTCTTGTGACTCTGACGCGCGGAGGTTTCCCTCCGCGCTGTTGCAAGCACCTCTTTCGGACCCCGCTCTGTTGCGTCGAAAATCATGGCTCTGACAGACGGAATGAGACGGACTGATGATCAATGCCCTGATGTTTCCCGCTTTTCTGAACTTGATCTAGTACTAGTGCTATACTAGTAATCCTCTTCTTTCACGAAATTGACATGCGATTTTCTGTCAAGCATATCGTGGTGTACACCAACCCCGAGGAGCTTCGACGTGCACGAAGAGGGAAAGGCGTCTCGACCACCAGTGGGGTGACAATCTGACCTTCCCTCCTGGGACGGCAAAGATGACAGCGTAGCCCAAGTACACGTGTTTCTGTGCCATCTACTCAGAGAGAAGGCTCAGAAGGCCCAAATGATTCACCTGAACTGTTGTTCTGGTAAGGCACGAATAATACACTACAATTCACGTCACTCACCAACCCTCCAGCCTCCCACATTGTCAGACCTCCCAAACATCGGGGAGCTGACGTTGTGTTGAGATGGAAGGCCTGTTTATGCCAGTGGCTCAGCGCAAATCCGAAACTCTTCCAGGAATGCAAAGGTTTGAATTCCCAGCAAAAGATGACGTTGCCACCATAGTGAGAACCTACTTGAATCCCCGCTGTCGCTTTCACCGCATTTCTTGTTCATATCATCTGATCGACCCATTTGCCTTCATCTATTCCAGCTTCCTCTCGGTGGTACCCGCTGTCCGGTCCTCGTTGGATCGCATCTGCAACCCTAACAGAGTGGAAGCAATAAGAGCGAGTCGAGCCACATTGAGTTGCATCAGTTCTCGTGTAGCAAGATACTGCGATTCGTTGAGCCTGCCGTCTTAAGCTACGTCACATGAGTGGAACAGTATTCACAACCACGTCTAGCAGCATACTTTACTGCTCCGTAGGTCATCTGGTCAGCATGAGCTGCCCAAGCATACCTGTCACGTTCATTTGTATTGCATCAGTTTCCGTGCCATGCACTCATGTTCCCGGTGAGTGACATTATGAAGCACTTGAGCCTTGAGGGTCCTTCCATTCGTGCTTCTTCACTATTGCCTGACAGCTTCCCTGCGGCAGGTGAGGTTGGGTCTCTCAGGTGACCGATGAAAGAGAGCTTGCTAAACATAGGCCCGCTCGTCTATAAAACGCGACTTGGCCATCAGATCGCCCACCGATACAGGTTACCACGCTTTTGCTATGTCTACCCCAACATCGTCAGAGACACGGCGACTTGGCTGGAAGAAAGAACTTCGGCAACGGCACGTCCAGGAATTATCGCAGATCAAGGACAACTATAAACTGCGAAGGGACGGGGATCTGGACCAACCGGTCACCGTCGATATATTGAAACAATGGACCGAGCAAGTGAAGCAGCAATTCGACGAAGCCGCCAAGCAGAGTGGGTTATCGACCTGGGTCCTGAACTTATGATTGCTTACATCGAGCATCCTTCTGCATAGAGATCTTCGGAATGTACGGCCTTCTGTTAGTTGTCAAGGTCTCCTTGGTTTACCTGTTGGTATTCTAGGAAGGGAATAATTGACTGGAGAAATGCGGTCTTCACGCTGCTGGAAAGTGCGGCCATGTATTTGCGGTGAGCTTTGCCTTATCTGGCGTCCAGCTATGACTCAAATATCTTCAACGTCTGCTTGTAGAGATGTTGCAGCTGTCGAGAGTGCGATAGTGGAGGCGAAAGCCGGGAATACAGCGCAAGCTATCGAGTATCTCGAGAGCGCGGATGATGCTATCAACGAGATCGTTAGGAATGCCATCATATCATTCCTGCACAGAGCATGATTCCTTCATGACAGGCGAGCTTCTGGGGATTCGAGTATACGACGATCTGCGGTACGCACTCTCGAATCTCCTTGTTTCGTTCAGCTAGAAGTATTGACCTCGTGGATCGACGACAGACCTGATTGAAGTCAGTCCTGAGCTATATAGACCTACTCTTCACTGTCATAAGCTATCTTATAGAGTACTCCGGATGGTCATTTCCTTATTGTCGGCCCTTTTTGCGGTGCATTGGCACCCGTGAACCAGGAGGACCCGTTCCTTGGGATTGCGTTTAAGGTACGCCGTCGGCTGTACATCATCAATGACACATAGAAAGACCGCCGCTCACAGGGTACCTCGACTCTACAAGAGTGGGCCACAAACATTGATCGTGTACCTCAGGCGACTGGGGACTCCTCAATTCTTTGGGGCACCGATGTTTCCAGTGGCGTCTTCAACTGCTTATTCGGCACATACGGGGACTGGGGCATACCGATGGGTTCGTTTCCTCACCGGTCTCCAGCCTTGTTTTGACCTTCGATTCGGCTGATTGTCATCCATAGACCATATTCTTGGATATATCGAAACATTCAGATCCCTTTTGCCTGCGAACTCGTCGGAGCTCGCTGTGCATGTCACGGTACGGTCATGTTTACAGTGTAGTTTGGAGTCTGTAGACATTCACCTCTCTCCATAGGGTCATTCGTTAGGTGCATCCTATGCAACGCTGTGCTATGGGCAACTGCTCCAATACCAATCGACGACGCCTACCGGATGGATCCTCGGAGATCTTTACACCTTCGGAAGTCCTCGGATTGGCATGAATAGTTTCGCATCGCAGGTCAGAAATGCCGGGGAGCATGCCCCTGGCTCTGCCTGGCGTATCGTTAACCAAGACGACTCGGTCACGGCACTCCCGCCAGCACCTGCGAAGTTATTCCTGGGTCTCCCGCTGGAGGATGACGCCAGAATCTACATACATGTGGATTCCGCGTACCGCATCTCGATTACTAGTCCTCCCGTGGTGATACCAAGTGAGATAGGCATGGACCCGGGACCAGCGCCCAAAGCCGTCGACGAACTGATTGAGGTGGGACATATGGCAGAACATTGTGGGTGTTTTAGCGGTTCTCTGCTGATTGTCGAATGCTGATTCGTGACTAGCACCCTCCTTCTACTTTGCTTCATTGCTGATAGCAAATGGTATCGATCCTCTGTGACCGAGATTGAGCTTCTGGTGTATCTGCTGTCTCTCCGTACTGCAATTCTGATTGATGAAGCATCACTGACAAGGAGAGTAGTGAATAGGGATAAAGATGTATTTCAAAGTGTCTTTACCGCTTTCCGGGCCTGAGTCATAGATTGGGGCCTTCGACTCTTGAGACGTTATACTGATTCAATTCTCCTGTAACTTTAAGTACCTCAGACCTCAGCGTAGACTTGTGAAGGGGGTCGCCTCAACATCCAGTTGATAGGCGAGCAATCCGGTCTATGGACCTCTGCGGAGGCTACACCGTGCCTACACGCGCCTCACAGTGGCTGCCGTCGGGCCATCGATCTGGAAAGCGGTGTGATAAGATAAACACATGCTCAGGTCGTCTTGTGAATTCACCCACGTCCTCGGGACGCGAGAGGAGATATCTGATATAAAGCTGTAAGGCCGTGCGAGCACGGCAGAGCCCGCTACCGTAGATATAGATGATATTTGGTAGCAAGCTGAACACTTTACATCCTGAGCAGCGTCATATATATCTATTTTGCGAAAGCAGCTGTGTTCCAGCAATTATTTCTGACTGAGCATTCAACTCAATGGCCTGGGGTCCTGAGAGATGTCCACTCATCCCTCCCTCAGGTTTCAAGAATACAAGTTACATATGCAAAACAACTGACATCGGAGTACTCTGATTTCACCTTGAGACCGCAAGGTCCAAGGCCCCAAGCAAGGTCAGTTCTGTCTCTGAGTCCATTGACAATCATCCGCCACCTTGGCTATAAAGGGCAAGAGAGATGACACGTGGCATGACTATCGGGGTCCTTTAAGGACCCCACCTTTGATTGGTCCAAAGCCCTGTCCCGCTCTTGCCGTTCACCATATACGGTTAAGCGCCAAATATCGTCAAATAAATCGCGTAGATCTTGAAACGATCGCAGGAAACCTGCGAACGGCCGGGGGGTCCAAGACCCACTACCTACGGTAGCGGGAATTACAACGTAAACTACGAGGGTTTATATACACAGAATAACTCCACTATGATATAAGACAAGAGAAATACGAGTCAGAACGAATAGCCAAGGCACAAGGTACAAATTTAAAGTGGAATAAGTGGCTAAAGTGAGACATAACTACTAAAAGGGAAAGAAACAAATAATGCCAAATACATATTACAACACTCTCAAGGTGGCGGGTTGTGGCACTTCGGGAGTTACACTCTTTGGGGCTTTGTGAATGATTCTGTATTGAGAATTTTGAAGCTTGTAATATATATTTTCAGTAGTATTATCTTTGTTGATATAATCTTCTCTTGATTTCAGAGCGCGCGAGATCGTGACGATTAATGACGAATCGTCAAGGGCACTAAGGTGCGTATCATACCTGCGGGTTATTTTGTCCAGTGGTACTAATGATAATGTGCATTTGACATCATAAATATCCCCACTCCGTCATGCTCATCAACAGACAGGCCGAAAGGACAGCTTCATGCCCAGGAAGCCTCGATAGCAGTGTTCTCCTTGGATTGCATTGGCAACAATATACCTAAAGTGTTGTGCGAAGTGGTCCAGAGTAACAGGCGCCTCAGTGTTACACAATCCCCCCCAGGAGCTCACTGAACTATTCTGGCAACGCCTCACGACGACTATGAATCTTCTTTGTCAGAAGCTCAAGCGCGAGGAAGCTGAAGGAATGGAACACTTTCAGGCGAACAGAAACCTACAAGTCGCCCGGGGTGAGTGCGCTGCCTGCTTCCTTTCCCCTTTTGCCATCCGGACGATGACGGGTCTACGTGGCTAGGTCCTCGAGGACTTTAACGCTGGCCCTTTCTTGTTGTGGACCTGACTTATGTGGCGGGCTTAAATCCCTTTTGCCGCTGCACCTGTTCAGTGTGCCCACGGTCTCGAGTCAAACGGCCATCAATATTGGGTTTTCCACGCATCCCGATTTCTAGGTGTGCCTCATGAATTGCATTCAGTGGAGCAGAGCCTCACGCATGGTGCCTGCAGAAGAAAGCTACCCAGAGTCGTTTCATCTCTGCTAGCGCCGAGTGCCAACTCTACTCGTGCATATTCAGTCTACGTTGGAGTTGGAGTACTTGCCAAACTGTTTCCCTGTTCAGGCGCTCTCATTCATTTGGGACTTTGAAATCGTACACAGCTTTGAATGGATCGCTTCACGTTTGAGCGGGGAATTTCACGCTTGGGATACCATCTACTCTTGTGGTATGCCTCCCGAGTTATGGTTCATGTCCGGTGACATCATGGATCACTGGAGTGGTCTTGTGGTCCTGCTTTCCATCGCATGCCTGACAGCTTCCCCGCTGCAAGTGAATTTGGACTTACGGAGTGACCAACGGCGGACTGACGCAACACAGATCGGCTGGCTATAAAGGAGAGCGCGCCTCCGGCCTACCTGGTCCCTTCAACAGAGAAGAGCCACCTCATCTTTCCGATGTCTACCCCACTGTCGAGCGAAGCACTCCACCTTAATTTGAAGCTTGGACTGCGGCAGCGACATGTTCAGCAGTTATCACAGATCGGCGATGATTACAAATTTCAGGAGGACCTGGACCCAGACAAAAAGGTTACGGTGGAGGACTTGATGCGATGGACTACCCACGTGCAGAAGGAATTCGACGCTGCAATCGCACAGAGTAGGTTACAAGGGCTTCTTCCCGCACCAGGGACAGTACTTACCGGTCATCCTTTCACGTAGAGGTTTTTGGAAAGTGCGCGCCTGTATCCACTTTGGCGATCCGTTTATTCATGCCTACGCTGTCTCAGGAAGGGGATAATCGACTGGCGAAATGCTCTCTTCACTCTGTTGGAGAGTACTGCTATGTACCTGCGGTGAGCCCAGTCATGCTTGGAACCGTGGCATGCATCCACGCCTTCGAATAATGGATCTTGGTGTTAGAGACGATGCGGCCGTTCAGAGCGCCATAAATGCAGCAAAGGCGGGGAACACTGACCAGGCCATGGAATATCTCAGAGAGGCAGACGATGACATAAACAAAATCGTGAGTGACGCTGTCGTGGTGTCCTTTCTCAGAATGATATCCGCTGATTTGTGTTCCGTGACAGGCAGAGTTTTGGGGCCTTGAGTACATGACCATATGCGGTATGCCATCCGACACCTCATTTTGTGCGGTCGAAGATGATGACTTTGTTGATTGATCAAGACCTGATTGAGGTCGGTCTTAGTTGCCTGTAACGTCTATCTTGCATGTCGTGACGGGGTCGCTCCCAGAAAACCCCCGATGGCCAACGGGACATCGTCGGCCCGTTTTGCGGTGCATTCTCCGCTAAGAATCCCAGAGATCCTTTCCTCGGGATCGCGTTCAAGGTGAATATTACGCACCCAAGGATTGGATGCACTGATAAACGCAATGGACAGGGCACTTCGGCCACATCAGAATGGGGGACTGATTTGGCTCGAGAACCCCAGGCCACCGGAGACTCGTTCATTCTTTGGGGCGCGGATGTCTCTAGAGGTGTTTTCAATGCGCTATTCGGAACGTTCGGGGACTATGGAATACCTATGGGTTCGTGCTCGTGTTGCCAACGTTCATTTCCAGCGACATAAATCAACCCTCCGCAGACCATATTCTGGTATACATCCAACAATATATGAACCAGTTGCCTACTGGCTCCTCTGAACTCGTTGTGCATTCCACGGTAATATTAGACTCGGTCCTCCACTTCACAGACGTTTACGCACTGCATATGTAGGGACATTCATTGGGCGCGTCCTTCACGACACTCTGCTATGCCCAACTGCTTCAGTACCAGCAGACGAAGCCCCTCGAGTGGGTCCTGGGAGATCTGTTCACGTTCGGAAGTCCTCGTATCGGCGAGAACTCTTTCGCATTGAACTTTAGGGCTGCGGTGGAAAAGGCAGCTGGCTCTAGTTGGCGTATCGTTGACGAGGACGACTCCGTCACCTCCCTGCCGCCGGCACCGGCGAAATTGGTGCTCGGTATCTTCCCCGCGGTGGATGATCCCAGGATCTACGTGCATGTCGATTCGGCATATCGCACCTCGCGAAGCGAGCCTCCGTCGGCGATCAGCAGCGAGGTAGGCATGGACCCGGGGCCGGCTCCCAAGACGGTAGAGGAACTGACGGAGAAAGAACATATGCAAGATCATTGTGGGTTTTTGATTCTTACGGTGGCGGTGGTTAGAGTCTCACTAGGAATAGCACCTGCTTGGTACTACGAATCGTTGCTCAAGGCGAACGGCTTGGGTCCTTTGCAATGACGGCAGAGCGAAGGGCATCCGATGATCAACGATTTCCCCGTCTTGGTATTTGAACTGGTATAATTTCCCAAGGTATTCCTACACGGATGACCTGCAGTGGATCACTCGATGTATTGAAGTGTACTGTTTATGATACATTCTGGATGCCTTTGTTGCACCGGACTCGCACGGGCCGCACAACGTCGGTTGAATCTCGGCAGCCGGAAAGCGATACGATAAGATGTTCCCCGCACTCGCGTAGATAAAGACCCGGGCCGAGATTGGTTGCCCGTCGTCATCGATCGATGAACGGGAGTCACGTCCTGCGCCGTTCCGTCTTTCTCCTTTCGTTGCGTGCACGGTCCCCTCTCGCTTGTACACTCGCTTCAACTCGGAGGAGGCTGTCCACTGCCGCGATGTCGCCAACTACTGAGCAAGACCCCTGGCAACCCGTTCTCCTCGCTTTGCCGAGTCTCACCCCGAGCCTTGCGCTGGAGCTGATTCCACACGGGCTGTTGATTCACAGGCTGTTTGTCCAGGCGGACGGCAAGGTATGCGTTCATCTTCAGCCACCCTCACTCTCCGTGTTCACTGGTGCAATCGTCCCAGACGCATGACCTCGTCATTGGGCCCGAGCAGCCGCGAGACCACCTCAAGAAGAAATATGTCAACACCATCATCGGGCGCTACGCCAACCGTCTCCCTGTGGGCGAATTTAGCTTGGAGAGAGAGGGAGCGAAGGGCACGGTCAAGCCTATTTCCAACGGTATTCTGAATATACTACTTGTTGAACATTGTACTGACTACGGAGTGCACCAAGAATCCCCCACCGTGTCACTGCATGGAGGGACCACTGGTTTCGACTCAGTCCCCTGGACACCCCTCCAGCCCTCCGGCAGCAAGCTGTTCTCCTCCGCCGAGCTTGCCACCATCAACGGCGACCTCGGCGCGAGCAGTCTCTGGAGTTACACGGATAAAGACGGGGAGAATGGCTTTGACGGGACGTTATACACGGAGGTGCGTCGCTCTCGGAGGTGTGGATGCTTTGCCAGCGAATGACGCCGCGCAGGTGCTCGTGGGCCTCCTGTCCCCGTCCAACCCCCCGTCCATTGCGAGGGGCGACGAGTTCCTCATGGGCAGTGTCGTTATCGTGTACCGAGCAAAACTCCTCGACCAGGGCAAGGTCACGCCGCTGAACATCACCCAGGTACGCGGCTTCCCTGCGACTAAATTCCGGAGGTTTGGTACTACTGTGATCTTCACGCGTAGCATTGGGGCTTCAATTTGACCGCCTCGCTCCAGGAGGGCGCGGACAGCCTCTCGGTAAAATCGCATAGTCTCACCTTTAAGGTACGTAAGCAGTCTGCATTCAGTTGGGTTGGGCTCAATCTGGCTCGCACAGGCAGACAAAGTTCTGGAGCTGGACAAAGTCGGCCTGTCGGCGGGTAAACTGCAGGACGTGGCGGGCACCGCACACGACTTCCGGACTGCGCGCACCATCGGAAGCCAGTGGCCGACAGTCGAGAACGGCCCGGGCGGATATGGTCAGTATACCCATCCGCGCGGTTATATCGCCCTTGTTTTGTTGAATTATTCACTTGGATAGACTGGTACTACTCGTTCCCGCGCACGCCGGCTGCCAAGGACCACCGGATCGAGCCGACGAGGGTCACGCCGCAGCTCAACCTCGTCAAGGAGGTCTTGGAGACAAAGCTCGAGGGCGAGGAACGCAAGGTTGAGCTTGCAAGTGAGAAAAGCGGTGTCAAGATCGTGTTTGGTAGTAATCGTGAGTTGTTGTTCGTCTGTTTTGTCCGAGCAGGCCGTGGGGGAAATCCGTGGAACACGGTAGGGTTGAGGCATGGAGAATCTCACTCTGATGTGAGGCGTCCCTAACCCTATGGTACATCGTCTGAATTTCAGTCGGTGCTGCTCATGCGGATCCTGTGAGGAACACGGCAGATCCCTGGAGCCTGGGGTTAGGGTCCTTCTCATTGAAGATGCAGAGAATTCCTACCCTACTGCGGTTCACCATTGGACATTGCGAACCAACTGACACGTGTCTCCAATTCTACAGAATCGGGCGTGCAATTCTACACTAACAACTTCGCCTCCACAACAAGCGCCCGCAAGAAGATCCACGGCGGAAGCGGCGCCGACGGCGAAGGACAGGGCTACGGGGTGGGATGTACGTTCGCGTTTCTCCTTCTTTTGCGCGGAATTTGACTTAGCATTGCAGCTGCGGCCTTCCTCGAGTTCCACGCGCCCCTGGCAGCGTGGCTACACCCCGAGACCGTCCGCGACGGGTTCGACACGCTTCTGGCTGGGAACGGCGAGGTGTACAATAACTGGGTGAAAGCTGACATCTACTACAAGACGCCCAGCGCGGACGTCCAGTGAAGAGTAATGCCCCGAGAGGAAGGAAACGTATACGATGTACGGAAGGTTAGCAGTAAGCAGTAATGTACAGTATGTAAGAGTGGAAAGCTATGCTACATCTGATTGCGGCGGAATATACCTGGCTGAACATTGATACACAACATATAGACGATCTATAACACATAACAGCCTCACGCACTCAATGCATTCTTCCACCTGTCCCCACCGACGTCTGCGAGCGCCCTCTCCACCTCTCCGACCTCCATATTCAGCACGATCCTGCGCTCGTCCTCCGGCTTCCTGGCCGCGCCTGTGCCATCTTCCATCAGCACCGCCCTCGTCGCGAGCAGGTTCTCCAGGACCATCGCTAGCTCCTCCCCGCTCGGCTTGCGGGACGGCTCGTCCGTGGACGTGAAGACGGGCAGGTAGATGAGGTGCTGGTACTGCACGTCCCCCCACTTGATCTCGTCTACGCCTTCGTTTTTCATGCACTTCAGCAAGGCGGCGAGGAGGAGCCGCTCGTGCAGGCTGCAGTCGCGGAGGTACGCCGCCGTCGGGCTGTTCTGCATCACCTTGATCACTCCTTTCACGTCGTTTGTCCCGGCCGTGCGCTTCCTAGGGTGGACCAACTCCACGGTGCGCCTGCCCAGGAATATCAGCCAAGGCCGTAATCGTCCCAACGGGACGGCACCCACCGACAGATGTCCAGGACACGTCTGGCATCGCCGCTGATGCTGGATACCTTCATCGCGGCAAATTTGACACCGTCCGCCGATAGCACGTCAGGCACTTGGCCTGCCAATCCTTCCTTAGCGCTCAGCAGCCGGGAGTGCACGATCCGCTCGAGCTGAGGGGTCGTGTATGGTTGGAAGTTGATCCGGACCATACCTGCGGAGTAAAGAAGTTATATACTGGAACGATAACAGCAGTTCACACGATGAACATACCAAGTCGACTCCGGACTCTGCCTGACATGACCCTTTCAGGAAGATCCATGGTGTTCGCCACGGCTATGACGACCAGCTTGGATCCAACGAACGTCGGCCAGTTGAAAAAGTTATACACAACGTCCTGCTTGGCGGTCATCAGTTGGTCCAGTTCGTCCATGAGGACAACACTGAGAACTGGTCGTCAGGACGGGCATCCGGTAAATACGAGTATCGGTTACCAGGCGTGTCCCCCGGGACCCGAGTTCCCGCCGCTGCCAAAGTAATGAGTTAAGTTGCGCAGCGCTTCCTTGGAGCTGATCTTGAGGTGCCCTTCGGACGCGACGTCGTGTCCGGACACGGCTTCCCATAGCAGCCCGTACGCGGCAGAGGGCTCCGGAATTTTCAATCCATTGATTTCGACATAAGTGAAGGGGTTAGTTTCCTGCCTGGACATGTTAGAATGAGAGGTCACTAGGCAGGGAACAAACTTACGCTATTCTCAGCCATTCGCTTCAACTCGCGTACGATGGCGTGAACAGTGGCTGTCTTCCCGGTACCGGGCACCCCGGATATGTCTTCAACAAGATTGAAATCAGTTATTTGCCACTGAAGTAGGTAGGGACGTACAGACGCATCCGCCGCTTCCCTCCTCTACCAGCTCTTCCACGCTCCTCAGCACCTTACTATACTCCTCCTCTCTACAGACCAACTCATCCGGGCGTGCCGCGACGTGCAGAGCATGCATAGCTCGTAACCATGGATCGTTCCCTATCTTCTTCAGTGCGGCAGCGAGAGATTGTGTCAATTCGGGCGGCGGGGGTCGGACGGCCATCGACGACTTTCGCCGCGCGCGGGCACGCAGGGCGGCCTTGGAATGGGGAGTAGGGGCAGCGAGGTTTTTGACCGTTTCTCGTGTGCGTCGCGGTGTTCTCGGAGTGCGAGGTGTCCGAGGCGTCCATATCTCGCCTCGTCTGCGCTTCTTCGAGGGAGTCTTGGGCAAGTCATCCTCGAGGGGCGCCTCTTGCTCTTCTTCTGTGTCAGTAGCTGCTACCGCTTGCGCGTCTTTATCAACTTGGTACTCGTCTTCGCTGGGCTGGATTCCTTCCCGGTCGTCGAAGTCCTCATCTTCTTTCACCGAGGACTTCCGCGGCCTTCCACGACCGCGTGCGGCGGGAGTGCGTTTGGTAGGAGATACGCCGTCTTCGTGAAGTACTATTGTGTCATCTACGGAGACATCCCAAGCTGCGGTGTTGGAGGGATCGTCCGTTTCAGTGGCAAGGGCTCGCTCCCTGAATTCCTCCCAGTCAAATACATAGTAAAGTCCACGCCGGGCGTCAATTGCGGAGCCACAGTAAAAGACATCTTGATATTCAGCATGCGCGGAGCTTGGTGCAGATAGCTTTCGACGTTTTGAAGGTGAGGCCGACCATGCTAATGCACTCTTCGACTCTGCATCTTCTGGTTCTTGACTTGTGACCGTGCATTTCGAAACAATCTTGGATGGGTTAATTGTAGCGCACGTCGCCAATGAGTAGTATATTTCGTTCTGAGATCGAAAGGGATCAGTAAATGAAGGGAGATAAGGTCGGGGTAATGTACCTCATAGTGGTCTCTCTTCGCGCGGACACCAGCAAGCTCCGTGGGCCTCAGAAACCAGTGCACTTTTACCTTCATCTTGGAATCCTCAGGCCGGCCCTCGTCCTCTTCAGCAGCATCCCTTTCCTCCTCCGCATCCACGTTCACTTGCCACATTGTCACGATGACGCCTACACTAGGCTTCTTCGCATTTGTCGCAATGAGCACCGTATCACCCACGCTAAATTTCTCTGAGACATCATCCTGTTTCGCCTTGCCCTTCGCCCGTCCTCTGGTTCGGCCTTTACTCTGCGGAATCTTCGAGAGGTCAGTACGGTTAAACGAGACATAGAAGACAGCCTCTGCAGTTGCGTCGTCAAAAAGCGCTCCATCGTCCCCGTTGTCTTCGGACTCTAGCGGCCTGGTATATATGGGATCGGATGACCAAGTGTACGTGTAATCCCCAGCGGATGAGGCAGAGGTGGCTAGCAGAGGCTGGTACCGCTTCGATCGGCGAGGGGTGGCGACTTCCTGAGGCATCCTTGCAGCACAAAGGAACTCGGTATATTTCTCCGCAGCAACAGCAGCGATAGCAGAGGAGCCGTGCCGGAGTGGTGCAAGACTATCCTCTGGACCACGACCGCGAGTGAAGCGGCGCGTTCAATCGGGAATGCGACGCGTATTGTCACGCGCTTCGTCACCCATCACGCGGGCTGTGATAAGGGTTACAAAAAGCTGGCTGTGCTATGGCAAGATGGCCGAGCGGTCCAAGGCGTGTGACTCAAGCGAAAGTTTGCCTGTTGAAAGCAGGTTTCTCATCCGAGTATTCGGGCGTGGGTTCGAATCCCACTCTTGTCATCGATTTCATTTTCTCCTGCTCATGGTCCCCTTTTCATTCTCATCATTTCAACTATATGTACCGTGCAGCATCATGTTTGCGTTGTCGTTGTGACCCCGATGTTGCCACGCTGGCCCCGATTCGTCCGAAGGTCGCAGAATAGATGGCCCCACAGGCTAACCACCATATCAAGTAAGGCCTCCATGAATGGTTCGCGAAGACCTTCCGATTCGCCTATCAGGCCGCCTAGGATGGGCTCGGGACAGCCATTTTACGTTGAGGATGCGACTAGGCGCTACGGACATTTCTTTTCCATGACCCACGTCCTATCCAATGCCGTCGTCAACACCGGACACTGATTTGTGGTTAGAGAGGTCACGTCTGAATGGTATGCTGCTTGGTGCTATATCGTATGGTACGGCATGAACCAAATGACTTGAAGCAAGGAAGTCGACTGAAGGATTTGAATTAGGAATCCTGGTTACTTTGACATTACAGTGTACCGACATACTTTGGAATACCCAGCGACAAGGCCGAGAGAAACGTTCCGAGCAGCGTTTCATCCTCTTGGGTTACGTGCTGGTCACCTTCGTTTTAGCGACTATTGGATTCGCTGGCAATGCCAAATACACTCAGACGATTTGGATCGACCGCCGCAACGCCCCGGGAGGGCCAGCGGCTCTGATACAGCTCGAGCTGAACGACAAGATTAATGTGATGGCGTTAGCCTGGTAAGCACTCTGTTCGGATTTCCAGCAAACATAGCAATGTCAAGCCGACTGTTGATAGCTACTATGTGATGGAATGGTTTATGGATGGTCTCTTGGTGAGCAAGTGGACAGGTGGATCAATTCTCGCGAAATTAACTATGCAAACAGCTTCATCGCTGCTGTACGATTTGGGGCTGGCGGTGGTACATCGTAGCCGTCATGAGTGTGCTTTTCTTTGGCGACATTGGTAAGCACTTCCACACGACTCCGGCCCGTGTACTTTCCAAACTCATTCGAGACTCCAAGTGGCGTCCATAATAGTGCTGGAACGCTCTGGCCAGGGCGCAGTCTTCTACTCAAACAACATTCAGCTGGCCTACCTATCGATATCCGTATCTTTAAACATCATATATACCATCTTAGTCGTGGGCCGCTTGATTGCTATGCGCAACCAGATCAAGCACGTTCTCGGTGAAGAGCACTCGAGGACATACACTTCCATCGCAGCCATGATTGTCGAGTCCGCGTCGATGTACACGGTCCTCGGCATTCTCTTCATAGCTGCCTTCGCAAAAGGTAGTGATCTGTCGAATTTGATCTTCCTTTCTATCAGCCACGTACAGGTACGTATCTTTCAATACGCTGAAGGCGTCCGACCTTACAGTACTTCTCCTCACATCTATCAGGGTATCGCGCAACTGCTCATTATCAGACGAGTGGCCACCGGCCGCGCGTATTCCCATGATCTAACGACCTCCGGCAGTCCATCCCTCTCGTTCGACGCAATCTCTGGCCCGACGTCTGTGGATACCACCGCCTCCGCTCGTGCTAATGGCGGGGAGTCGATAGCTATTACGTATCTCTCCCCTGATGCGCATAACAAAACGAAGGGTACCGTGCGGTCTACAAAGTCCCTCGCATCTTCCCGGAACCGCGATTCCATTTCGTGATGAATCGTGGTGTAGTTTCTTGATTTGACGATATACTAACGAGGTGATACGTGTACAATAGAGATAGATTTCTGGGCATATCTTGCCTATGCCGTATGTGAGCCATATAATCCATAATCCTTCCATGTATACAACCTAATAAGTTACAGGTATCTGGCTATCCGCTTCGGCCATGCGCCATGCAATCATACAGTTGTTGTTTTCCCCATGATTCCGTGCAATGTTAATGTCATGTTGATACAATTAGTACTTCGTGAGCTTGGCGTGGCCGACCTTGAAATCGGCAAGCTCGAGGACACCGCCGAGCACCTTGGTGCTCTCCTCGCTCTTGGTCTGACGGGCAGCCTGGTGCTCCTGTATTATGGTAACGGTAAGCAACACGACCCTGTGCAGGAAGTGCCGCCACACGAACCTCAACGGATGGCCAGCCAACGGCCATGATGTAGCAGCCAGGCTTCTCGATGATGGGGCCGTAGGTTGAGCCGACGACGCCCGGGAGCTGGATCTTCGCGCCCTGCTCGAGGAGCTTCTTGAGCTCGTCCTCGGACTTGCCCTCCTTGATCTGGATGGCGACGACCTCGGTGACGGGCGCGGAGAGCGCGGGGGTCGGGTCCTTGTCAAACTTGACGTGCACCAGCTCGTAGTCTCCCGCGAGCGCCGGCTTGAGACCCTCGACCAGGGTGGGGTAGTCGGGGGAGGCCATCAGTGCTTTGTGGTGCTCCAGGGATTCCCAGTCTGATGGATAATCGGTGAGCTCGATGACCGAAGCGATCTAAGAGGTTGACTTACTGACGAAGAGATAGCCCTTGTTCGGATCCTCGACTTGGGGCCCGTGGAAGGTGCTACACGCATTCCATTCGGCATTAGCGAGAGTTCATTGGAAGATAGCGAGCAGCGGCATACTTAATCTTCCCTGGGGTCTTATTGAGGATGTCAACGAGGCCATTGACAATGGTGTTGTCCTTCTGGTAAGCCTCGGAGGCGGCGAAGACGACGAGCTCGGTAACTTGGGACATGGTGATGAAGGTAAGGTCGAAGGAATAAGAGACGACTTGAGGAGCAGTTGTGGGGATGTGTTGATCTGAACATCCGGTCGGTTATCTTGCGCCTTTATATCGATTGACAAGTACAGGGGGTCTTGGGTTTCCAATCAGACGATGTGCGCCCGCATCAGGCAGGAAGCGGCCGCCGAATCGCAATAGTAGAAGTACTGAAAGAGACGCCCCGCTTTCTACGTAGACCAGCTGGTGCAATAGAGGGATCTGTGGACGGGTGCCATCACGTTGGCGCGTTACCTACCTTCCATCTGATGGCTTCCCCACAGCGGTACTGCTTATTGGCCTGATTCTGCCTGATTCCGGCGCTGAGTCAACCAACACTAGACACAGCTTGCCGCAACGACATCGATGTCTGACAAGCCAACGTACATCTACAAACTCGTACCGTCGACGGCGGCGCCACCAGACCCGTTGCCGGAGGTACTGCCTCTGAGCGAGCTCGATGCCAAATCGGGCTTCATCCACTTTTCGACGGCGCCACAGGTGCTGAACACGCTCAAGTGGTTTTTCAAGGACGACTCGGAGGTCTACGTCCTCAGGGTCAACTACGACAATGTCGAGAAAGACATAAGGTGGGAAGACCCGAAGGCAGAGGTGTGCGGGCCTCGCGGAGGAGAGGGCATGTTCCCGCACTTGTACAACGGTCCAAAGCTAGGAAAGCAGGAGGTTGAGAGCGTCAGGATTTTGGAGAAGTCGGAGGCTGGTTGGGATGAACCGGTCAGGAAGGCCGAGCAGGAAGGCTGGCTTGTCTATTGATCTGCCGTCGGATGGGCAATGTACGTCCGAATAGCTGGTCATTGACTGTTGCACTGACGATCCAAAGAGCACTGCACAGCGTATTTGAGCGAAGGGTACAACTTTATCAATCACTCCTGGATTCTCGTACGCGGCGTCGGTGTAATCTTCAGACAGAGTTTTGTCCTCGACTCGGTAATGTCTCGCAAGACTGGCAGCAACTATAATTCTACGCATTGAACGCGTGATACAATGTTTAAAGTGGCGGTAATCTGACGTCGTACGTGCCAGATTATAAACTTCCGAGACCTTGCTCCTCTCCATTCGGTAGTGAGTCGGGACGCGGATTGACGCGCTGTGGTGTGACGCCCGACAACGAACAGCATGGGAAATACATAAGTATTGTGATATAAGGCACCTCCAACGAAAACAGCCACCGAAAGAAAGTGTTTATGCGAAGTCTCAAACAACACCAGATGCCATCTGGACCATTCCATCACACCCAGTTTCCTGTCGGTCCAGTTACAGGTAGAGGCCTGCTTACTATTCATCGATGACGAGTCAGATTTCCGTCTCCTTCAACAAAGATCGGGCCACTGATAAGACCACACTCACCAGGGCTGTAGTCCAGTTCTTCCCTTCTGTCTACATAGTCCGGTGGCGGTATATTCTGTAGCTCCCAAAGCATCTCCCGCTGCTCCTCCCGCAACCTCTCGACCTCCTCTTGCAGGATATCCATCCGATCCTGGTGCCGCCGCAACCTCTCCACCTCCATCTGCAACCCCTCCATCCTATCGTGGTCCTGACGAAGGCTCTCCACTTCGTTCTGGAGCGATCCAACCTGCCGCTGCTCTGCTTTGAGACGCGCTATCTCTTCCTGCAGCGCGAGCATCTGCTGCTTCTCCGTCCTCAACGTTTCCATCTCGCGCTGCAGGACCTTGATTTGCACCCGCAGTTCCGGCGTTCGCGCCCGACTTTGATAGGTGTACGTCGAAGCTGACCGCTGATGTCGACGGTCCCCATGGTCGTAGTCTGGTGGAGTGGGGGGAATTGGCGGCACGGGGAATGGGAAAGAGCTGGTGGGCCCTGCGCGATCTCGCTGTCCGGCGCTGGCTTCTTTCTGCTCAGAATTCACCGCAGGCGCCGGGTTTAGCGTCGGAGGCGAAGTCTCTTGGGGACTATTCAGGTGAATTGTACTGGTGCTGGGTCTTCTGGAGTCCTGGCCATTGTTACCGTCTGCCTGGGGGGGTACAACCAGCATTATTCCGGAGTCGGTGGTAGACTCGATCTTGCTGGTGCTCGGTCTCCTGGAGTTTGGCTCGCTGTTCCCGCATGTTGGCAGGAGGCTAGCAAACTTGGTCGCTGCTCCGCCTACCAACGGTGTCACCGAGTTTGTTTGGGTCTGCGTCACCGCCGATTCGTCTGCGTCGTTTCTCCGCACGCCTCTCCCCTGTTGAACCCTGTGCTCTGACGCCTGTTGTATCCGCCTTCGTGTTCGTCGGTCGATGAAGTATAGGACAACGAGACAAACGATGAGAAGGACGGCAATAACGACAGTGATCGCAATGATTTTGACGTCTGTCGGCGAAATATGGGACGAGGTACTCGGCGTCGACGATCCCGTATCTGAGGACGACATCTGTAGTGCTTGAATCTCTTCAACGAGTGTCAGCGAGTTGGGCGGGGCATGCAGCACGGGCGCCCTTGTGAGCTGCGGCAGTATGTGAGGTGAGGCGGAAAAGGTGCGTAGTGAGTGTCACTGTACTCATTTTAGTGTCTCCTGGTGACAACGAACAGTATCTAACAAGATGTGATAGATGGAAAGCGCTGGTTGCGACAGCTTGAGACTCTTATACCAGGATCAATTCCCGAATATAGCCGGACACAGATGATCAGGACAGAGGCGAGCCGCCCTTCGTTCGTGCTATAAATACAGGGTGAAGACCGAATGCTACAAAAGCGACACAAAATACACAATACATATGGGTGAAGCGCAGCTCCACCTCCTCAGATACTCAGAAACTTCCAAGGTTCTGCGACTACCTATCATCCTTCGTACGTGAACTTGCTCCCTCTACGTAACTCGGCGGGGGATCATCCCGTAAGCCCTGTGCCAAGTTTCTCTGCTCCCTTCGCAGCATATCGACCTCCCTCTGCAACTGTTCCAATTGGCTGATCACATCCGTATGGGTAGGCGTGGTCGCGCAGGATGTAGTCCCCGGTGACGCGGCGGACATGCTCGGTGTATATGCTCGTGGACACGCGTCAGGAGAAATCAGCAGGGATGGCAAAGCACCGCTGCGCTCCATCGCGGGTTCCGTGAAGGATCTTTCCCGTCTGTGGATGTAGCGAGAATTATATTCTCGTCCGGTGATGATAGTGGACAAAGACTTTGGTCGGGAGTCCCTCCTTCTGCTCGGGAAGGCGTCGATTGCCCATTTGCGCACTGCGCTGTCCGGCGACCCTGAATTCGGAGAGCCAGATTGGTGAAATAAGGGAGCGCAGTCGATTCCAACGCTGAGAAGTGCGTGGGACTTGTATTTCGAATGGCCGTAACTAATCTCCTGATGTTCGAAGGAAGGCCTCTCGGAATCTTCCAATTTCGCTAGCTTGAGGATATGCTGAGGTTTTCCAATGGCCCCGGTGGCACGGGGGCGATAGCGACGGTATTTCAGATACATCAGGATCGCAAACAAGAGCAGTATACTGAACCCCATCCCCCCGGCGATGACTCCAATTACAATGCGAAAGTGTGTGGGGCGGGGATGGGACCTTGCGACAGCAGCCGACGTCTCCTGAGGACCGCTAGTGGGCGTCGATGAGAAAGGTATGACCGTCAAGGTAATTGTCGCTAGGTTAGGTGGTGGAAAGTTGGTCGTTGCGAACCCGATTGTCGACATTATGAGATGTGCGCAGTCAGTAGTTTGCTGGCTACCGCTGCTGATAGATATACGTGAAGCCCTGCTTCGGATGTGGTGAGAGAGCGGACTGGGCAGGGTGCCGCGTTGCTGACGGGTTGTAGATAAGACGCCTGGGGGCTGCTTGCTCGCGAGAGGGCGGAACTATCCCAGTGGTGAGACATGCCCCCTAAGCCGAGCGGGCTGTGCGATCAACTGCCAGATGCAGATGTACGTGATGGACAGACCTTGATTTAGAGTTACCCCTTCCACGATAGCAGCCTTGAATCACGCTTTATAGTAGTGATTGCACTCGGCTTGTGACGATGTATTGTGCTCGGACGTCGTGCGCTCTGTTCCCTGTCTCTCAGTGGAACCTCCATAGTACCTGATGCCGGTAGGCTTGTCAAGAAGCACCATTTGCATGGTCTGTTGATCTGGCGAACCTCGCACAGGATCATGATGAGGATCTCGACATAGAGCGGACAGTGCGTAGGGTTAGGGCTTCGGCAAAGGCCGTCCGTCCTCAACTTCATGCATGGATTGAATGGCCAGACGGTTTAGCTACTCACCGTGGTAACATCTTCTAAGCGGTGATTAGCTTATGTGCTCCGCTTATACAAGGCGCCAGGGAGCTAAGGCCTCCGTTCTGCACGGCTTAGTACGGCTTCCCCAGGGGACACGAGTGACGACGTGTGTGGCACTTCGAGCTTATGTAGTGAGAGACGCCTGACCACCGGATGCTCTATTCCTGAAAGTTAGCTATATATGCTAAAGCATATAAATACTTCGAGACATCAGCCGGGGAGTCTCCGCAGAGTCAGAGTCGTACTAACGGCGATGTGGCGCTGACAGAGCGTCGGTCGCATCGTCCCTGACTTGGAACTAGTCCAAAACTTGAACAGCACAATCCGATGACAGTGTTTTGAGCAAATGTATAAGTATAGCAGCAGCGCGTTATGTAGGGCGCTCGGTAGAACACATTGTTACTTACGCAGGCCGGAATTCCCCGTGGTTGCAATGACACGTTCTGATGCCAAATGGGGATGCAACGCACTTACAAGTTGTAGTACTCGCAGAATTCGTTTCGCGAGTCGCCTTCATTTACAGCTTTCTGCTGGTATACCTAGCAAGATTTATTACATATGGCTTTGTGCAAGGAGTCTCACATGTCCCCAAGCATTTGTGTGCGAGAGGTAAGCTTCTGAAATCATGCGTCCCCCCTTCATTCGCACAGCAATATCACCCGAGAAGATCTGCGTTCCGAGTTCCGCAGCCGGCTACACGAAGCTTAGCCTCGAATAGTTCTTCCGGCAGATTGGCAAATCTTCACCGGCACGGAATGCGACGCTCATAAGATCTGGTTGGAAGGCGTTCGGATATATCTGAGTCTGGGAGCTCGGTCCTCTAGATTTCTGGTATTCCTTCGCGACTTGGCTGGTGCTCGCCGAATGGCCACCCTCGGGCCTGCTCTCATCGGGGCTACTATATCCAGCATGTGAGTATCTACTTGAGCGGTACAGCCACTATTCGCCTCGCGTCGCTAACGAATCGGTAGGTTGTATGGAGTAACGATCGCTCAAGTCGTTAATTACTATGTTACATACGATGACGGACTCGCTATGAAGTGTTTTGTGAGTAGTTATGCGTTGAACGCACGAAAGCGGTCTAAAAGGAAGTCTTCTCGCCATGGAGATCGGGTTTATCTGGATAGTACGCCCACAGTTAGCGCGTATATCATCTCCACTCTAACATGTCCGAATAGATGGATACTCTACATCAATGTCTCGTGGGACATGTACTGTGGTGGTACCTAGTTGCGAGATGCAACGGGAATAATGTGGTGTGTGCCGATGTTGTTTGGTATGATTTATTTTGGCCGATTTTTCCTCGAGCTGAACAGACGATTCTAGGAGTCTATATGTAAGGGATGGTGATTTCCTCAATGACCTGCTCGCTGACGGGTACCTACATCTACCCAAGGCGTCCGCGATACCGACGGTAAGATATGCATAGCTTACCTGAAGTCTTATGCACGTAAATCAAAACCCGACGTAGGAGCTGAGTGCCTTCGTTGTCGAATGGTTCGGTACCCGGCTTACTTTCTCAACTGCCTCACTGACACAGTCTTGCATCTACAGCTTTTTCATAATTCGAATATGGAGATGTAAGGTCGCTCGGAGTGCCACGTTTCAAAGAACTTGCTAATTGGTCCGTCACAGTTCGCGAAAAGAAGTCCACTTTTATGCTCGTAAGTTTTCCCCTGTTGAGGTTGTGCTCTCTGTCAAACTACTGCCTAGCTCGTGCCAGCAGCGCTCGGGCCAAGTGAGTGTAGTGCTGACTACGTCCAGGACGTCCTTGCTGATTTTGATTGGTATGATGGCATCCTTAGTTTTATCCATGGGTAAGCCAGATGTGCCATGGTTGTTCCACAAGTTATTCCTGATGACATCCTTTACGTCAGTGTATTTGATATACTGGTACGTGTCGAATCCCATAGGTATCAATATGTGCTGATGTCGCCGCCAAGTATACAAGGTCGAGGTTTTTTCATGTTCGAGACAAACCAGTCGCTGGCGGAAGTAAGTAAACTCCTCTAATTGGGTTGTAGTCTAACGTGATTGTATTCTAGTCTCTCACTTGCCTGAGCGCCAGCTTCTACATATTCACGGATATTGCCACGACAACCACAATGTGCTATGTCCTGCATAAGTCGCAGGAGGGAGGGCTGAGAGTATCGAAGTAAGCTGGACGGCCACGAGAACCTCGAGTCTCCACACTGACTTGCACTGCGCCCTCTCTTGTTCAGGTGGTTAATTGGTGTCGTATTGAGGTATACTGTAACAACAGGACTGTTATCATGGTACGTCGGCGAGTGCTTCATCACAATCATGAGCGTACGAACAGCTCCTGCGCAGTATTGTTCAGGCTATCTACTTGATTACCGTGAGTATTCCGCGAACATGTTTGTCGGTATTGGCGCTAACACAGCTATGCATAGGTTGTCGCAAGTTGGGCGACTGGCCATGGGAAGGATATCTATATTGGTATATACTTTATAACCGCTAAGAGTCAGTTGTGCTCCCTCTCAGCCCGCCATAAACTGACCTCAATCGCGACCGCAGCGTACATCAACTGCATGCTGGCATCGTGAGTCAATCCAATCGTGCATGGCTATCCTTGCAATCTTACGCGCTTTTCAGTCTGAACAGCCGTGCATCACTGCGAGAACAACTTGGTCGAGAATATATTCGATCAGTGAACACAATATAACTCACTAGATCTTGCGCTGGCGATGTAGACGCAGGAAGTGAATCTCTATTTGTACTATATCGTTCTTATAATGGAAAGTACACCTACTGTAGTGTGACACTTGATGTCGATGCACTAGTATTTAGCTTCCGGCATTGCTATAGCTCGCCGGCGCCGGTGCTATATGGCACTTTCTGACATCTGTGCTCACACGATACACCCATCGGAACCGCCTGAGGTCGAGCTTTCTTGATCTTGTACCTGTGTTGTTTCCACGAAGATGTTGATAGTTCGAAAAGGAATATTGCGGTTCTGACGAACAATCTTCCACTGCGACTACAGGTCCTCATCCAAGGGCCCGATGTTGCTCCGAGTCCGAATGTCGTCCCAAGTTTAGACGGGCTGGTCCAGCTGTCGGCGCATTGTTTCTTCGTCATTGTCAATGGTTGGACCGCTGCCAGTGTAGCCGTTGCTCTCCTGAGAATGGCTACGGCTTGTCCCCACCGAATAGCGTTGGCAGTTAGTATATACGAGTTCTCGGTCACGAACAACCCACAATTCCCGCTATACCTTTGGTAGTGGGTTTTGGTGTCCTTGATGTGAACATTGATGGGGAGGCGCAACGCCCGGTTCCGGTGCGAGTTGATTTGTCAGCAGATTGTGGCTGAAAGGTGGTTGCAAGTATCCCCTCGTATTCTTGTGCGTTTCTCTGCTCCATTCTCACCTTATGCATGCATGAGCAATGTATATCACTATTTTAAACCAGCAAGAAAGGTATTCTACCATTACAGTAGATATAAACATGTTTGTCTCTTCTTATTCCTGAGCTGTCCACCATCGGGATGAAATGATGGTCAATATGACCGAGGTCGGCAAAAGAGTGCTTAGGGAAGTTATGTATTGTCTTCAGAAACATTTGGAACATATCTATGTGCACACCAGTGGGTGCATTCCCTGTCCTTGATGCAGATGAGCTTGATTTCCAGGAAGCACAAGTCTGTGTAATTAATGGACAAAGCAAGTACTGGATCACAGCTGTAAAAGGCTGAATATATATCTCATGCACTATGTTGAGTTTGCAGTTCTAACACAGGGGAAGGGACCTGCTCTGCTGCGG